GCAGTTGTAAGAAATAATGCATACATTTTTTTGTATCTTGTATACATTTTACCTCAGTGATAACATTGTACAAAACCCTTCCTAGATAGTCGAGCCAGGATGCTGACACTGATATAATGATACAGAGCCTTTCTGTCACCATAAGGATCCCTTTTGATGCCCTTATGTGGCCACCCCCACTCCCTCCCCATCCCTAACCCCCTGCCAACCACCATTTATTCTCTCTTTCTAAAATGTTCTCATTTCCAAAAATGGTAGGTATCTACATGAAATCATACAGCATGTAAGCCAGGGGGTGGCTGTCCTCGCTCAGCACAGTGCTCTTGGCATCTGCCCGAGCCATTGCGTGCATTACTGGTTTGTTCCTCTGTAACGCTGTGTGTGCTTCACCGGGTGTGTGTGCAGCAGCTTGCGTAACCACCGCCCCTTGGAGGGTAACTGGCTGTTTGCATTGGTTTGCTAGTGCAGATGAAGGTGCTGTGGATGTTCGCGAGGAGGCTTCTGGGGGGACAGCATTCTCCCTTCTCTGTGGTGAACGCTCAAGGCCACGGTGGTCATTGCATGTTCAGGTTTTTAAGAAACTGCCAACTGATTTTCTCCGGGGTCGGTGCCGTTTGATGTGTCCACTGCCAGTGTGCAGTATGGCTCCTCTGTCTGCATCTCTACCGGCATCTGGTGGTGTCACTCTTTTCCATTCTCCTTATTCTCCTGTGTAGTGAGAACCTCGTCGCAGGTTTAGTCTGTGTTTCCCTAATGGTTAGCGGTGAGCATCTTTCTGTGTGCTTCTGCCATCCGCGTGTCTTCTTTGGCAAAATGGCTGCTCGTGTCTTTTTCCCATTTTCTGTTTGAATTGTTTGGGGTTTTTTTGTTTGTTTTGCTCTTGCTCCTTTGAGAGGTTTTATATTTTTTAGAGGCAAGTCCTTTCTGAGATGGTGGCTTATAAATGTTTTCTACTAGCCTGTAGTTTGTTTCTTCATTGTCTTAACAGCATCTTTCACAAAGCAGACATTTTTAATTTTGATAATACTTTGTCAATTTTATGGATCATCCTTTTGGTGTCAAGAATGCTTTGTCTAGCTCTAGCTCCCCCAAGGTTTTCTCCTATTCTTTTAATGGTTTTATAACAAGCAACAGCCTTTATTTGTTTTTTAACATTTATTTATTTATTTATTTATTTATTTATTTTTGAGAGACAGAGGTAGACAGATTGTGAATAAGGGAGAAGTAGAGAGAGAGAGGGAGACACAGAATCCAAAGCAAGCTCCAGGCTCTGAGCTGTCAGCACAGAGCCCAACATGGGGCTCAAACCCACAAATGTGAGATCATGAGCTGAGCTGAAGTTGGATGCTCAACTGACTGAGCCACCTAGGCGCCCCTTCCATGTCTTTTTTTTTTTAATGTTGTAACTTTTATGTTTTATAATTAAGTCTGTAGTCTGTTTTAAGTTAATTTTTGTATAAGGTATGAAGTTTAGATGAGGGTTCATCTTCTTGCCTGTGGATGTCTAGTTGCTCCATCGCTACTGTTCTTCCTTCACTGGATTGCTTTTACAACTTTTTTGAGAAGCGGTTGTTTCTATGTGGGTCTATTTTGGGGTTTTCTGTTTTTTCCCATCGACTTTTGTGTGTGTCCCTCTGCCAGTATCACGCAGTTTTGATTAATGCAGCTACGTAGTAGACCTGGATATTGAACAGCATGATATCTTTCACCTACTTTTTCTTGTCACGACAGTCTTAGCTCCTCTAGAGTCTGTGCCTTGCTCTGCAAACTTTAGAATAAGCTTGTCTACGTCTATGAAAACCTCGCTGTGATTTTGGTAGGAGTTGCATTATATCGTGGGGAAAATCGACGTTTTTACTGTGAACGAGGTATATCTCCATTTATTAGGTCTTACTTGATTTCTTTCATCATCGTTTTGTAATTTTCAGCATATAGATCTTCAACATGTTTTTGCTACTTCTTTTCTGGAGGAGGGGGGTGATTGCAAATGGTCTTCTGCTCATAGTTTGATTTTCAAATATTATTAGTGTAGAGAAATGCAGCTTATTTTTGTATTTTGATCATATTTATATGCAGTCACCTTGCTGAATTCAGTGTTCTTGGAGGTTTTTTTGTAGATTTCTTGGTAACGTCATGATAGGAGACGATCGTATCATCTGCAAATAGGGGCAGTTTTAGTCTTTGCTTTCTAATCTGTGTGCTTTTTCTTTCCTTTTTCCTATTTATTGCCTTCTTGCAATATGTTATTTAAGAGTGGCGAGAGAGAACACCCTTGCCATGTTCCCAGTCTTAGAGGCAAAGTACTCAGTCTTTCGTTATTTTTTTATTCAAATTCAAGCTGTATTTACCAGATCTGTCATAAATAGTTCTGAAAACACCTTTAGTTAATGTGTGTAAACGACTTAGAACAGCATCTGCCACATAGTAAATGCTCAGTAAATATTAGTTGTTATATTATTATTACTCCACTCATGACCAGCCTTCTTCCAGAACGCAGTATCTAAGGTCCAGAGAACAAAGCCCCTTGGGATCTATACCTGTAGGTGCATATCCATGTGGGAGTGCAGTCCATGTTTGCCTGTTCCGTGGCTTCCCAGTAAAAGAGAAACTTAATTTGTAAGGCTTTTTTTTTTTACCTTTTACCTCAATTCCCATTCCAGTAAACCATTCAAGGGAAGAAAGTCATAGCTTAGCTCTTGTTCCCTTTTTCCCTCGGTCTCTCCTCCCACCCCCTCAGCTTCAGAAATCTCCTCCAATCAACTCAAGTCTTTCATTATTAAGTGTATTGTTAACTGTAGATTTTATAGGTAATTAGAAAAAGTTTTTTAAATGTTTGTTTATTTTTGAGAGAGAGAAGGAGTGTGAGCAGGGGAGAGGCAGAGAGAGGGGGAGACACAGAAACCAGGCTCCAGTCTCTGAGCTGTCAGCACAGAGCCCCGCGTGGGACTTGAACTCATAAACTGTGAGACCATGACCTGAGCTAAAGTCAGATGCTTAACTGACTGAGTCACCCAGGTGCCCCATAGGTATTTTTTATGCAGCTCAAGAGGTTCCTCTCTTTTTCTAGTTTGTTGAGAGTTTTTAACATGTATGGATTTAAATTTTGGTTTTTGCCAAAGGCATTTATTTTCTGCATCAATTGACAGGATCATGTGATTTTTCTTAGCCTCCTAATGTGGTAAGGATTTGTGCATACTGAACCATCCTTGGATGCCAACAGTAAATCCTTTGGTGTGTAATTCTTTTCATATAGTTTTAATTCAGCTTGTTAGTATTTTGTTGAGCATTTGTGCATCCCAGTTCATGGGAACTACAGGTCTGTAGTTGTTTTTTTTGTGTACTCTCTTTGTCTGGCTTTGATATGAGGCAATACAGGCCTCATAAAATGAGTTGGGAAATATTTCTTCATCTTCTGTTTTCTGGAAATAAGCGTAAATTGGTGTTAATCCTCCTTTACATGTTTGGTGGCGTTCTCCACTGAAATCCTCTGGGTCTGGAGATTTGTTTTGGGTGCTTGAGTATGAATTTTGTTACTAGACTAGAGCTATTTAGATTATCTGTTTTATTTTGGTGGAGTTGTTAGAGTGTGGTTTTTGGAGAATTGGTCCGCTCTGAGTTGATGAAGTCGGTTGTTTTTAGTTCTCTTCTCACCCTTTCAGTGGCTCATATGTGTTGTAATAGCCCTTGTCATTCTCAATATCGGTGATTTGTGGCTTCTCTCTTTCTGTGCTTGCCAATTTTGCTAAAAGTTTGTCAATTCTGTTCGTTTTTTGGATGAACTAGTTTTTTTTATTGATTTTCTATATCATTTTCCTGTTTTCTCTTTCATTGATTTTTTTCTTTATTATTTCCATACTTCAGCTTGCTTCAGGCTTAATTTGTCCTTTTTCTACATTCTTGAGGTCAGAATTGTGAATATTGATTTATTTCCTTTTTTCAACGTTAAGTATTAAGTGCTAAGAATTTTTTTTAAGTTTATTTATTTTGAGAGAGAGCAAGTACACATGCAAGTGGGGAAGGGGCAGAGGGAGAGGGAGAGAGAGAGAATCCCAAGCAGGCTCCACACTGACTGTGTGGAGCCCAACATGGGGCTTGATCTCATGAACTGTGAGATCATGACCAGAGCAAAATCAAGAGTAGGACGCTTAGCCAGCTGAGCCACCCAGCCACCCCTAATAGGATGTATTTGTATTTTTATTAAGTGCTTTGTAGTTGGTTTTTTTTTAATGTCTTCCTCTTTGACCTGTGGATGGATTATCTAGAATCATACTGCTTAATTTCCATGTATTACAGATATCTTTCTATTTTGATGTTTAGTATGAATCTGTGTGGTCAGGGAACATACTCTTCATGATTTCAGTTTTTTAAAATTTGTAAGATTTGTTTCTTGATCCAGGATATGGCCCATTGTGAAACACTGTGGTTTTAGGAACTCTGGAGCACCTCCCACTCATTGTTACCTCTGCCTGCCTCAGTGCCTCAGCTACAGCTTACGGTTCTTGTCTGTCACGGGCAGAGAAAAGAGACCCAGCGCAGCCTTCCAGGGGCCCCTGAGTTACTGACAGACCTGCACTTGTGCCCCCAGAGCCCTCCTACCTGCACCAGGAGCCTGGTTCATCCCCCCAAGGAGCGCTGGCTGTCCGTGACCCTTCCCGTGACACGTGATGAACACACAATGAGGCAGAGGGTGGGGTTGGACAGGTACGCAGGAGTAGCCAGCCCAGGCCCTGTGCCCTCACACCCTCGCCTTTCTAATGGGGTGGTAAATGAGGAGGGGCAACTCAGATGCCTAAGAAGCTTAGGCCCAAATCTCGGAGACAACACCGGGCTGTTGCCCCCCTCAGACACGTCCGCCGGGCGGCCTGTTCCCACCCTTATAAACAGTCCAAGCGCAAGGCTAAGAGCCCTCAGGGCCGCCACTGCCGCTGCCGCCGCCAAAGTAGTATACACGGGGCCGCCAGCCAGGGACGGGCAGCTGACACCTCGTCCCCTTCCTGCAGGGCCTACAAGAACAGTGAGGAACTTCGGTCTCGCATCGTGTCTGGAATCATCACACCTATCCATGAGCACTGGGACAAGGCCAGTGTGAGCAGTCCCCACCGGGAGTTTCCCCCTGCCGCTGCCAGAGAGGTGGACCCCCTTCGGATTCACCCGCAGCACCCACACACGAGCCGGCAGCCTCCCTGGTGAGTACACAGCCCTCAGTGGGCAGCCCGTGATTCTGTGGGGCTCTAGCCACAGCCATCCTGCCACCTGATCCCCTCTCTCACCTCCATGCGTCTTCAGCAAATTGGCAGAGTCTTAGTGGATGGAGACAAAATGCAGGTACAAGTGGAGCAGTGAGCTCTTGTACTGCTCCTGGTCCCCCTGGCTCCCCAGCTTCTGCAGGCTGTAGGGACCCGGGCCAGGCATTTCGGGGACTGCAGGGGGGGATGCTGAGGAGCCTTCCCCGAGGGGACGTAAGCCAAGTGTCTGGCCTGTTTCATTTCACTCACTGTGGTTGCCTAACCTCTTTGATAACTTCAGAACTTTTCCAAGACGGCATGGGCTATGAGCATGTCACATCCAAGGTCTTAGCGGGTTAGGGTGCAGCACTTAGGACAGGAGACTTGTCAGGGTGCCTGGCTCTGTCCATTAGGTGTCCGACTTCGGCTCAGGTCCTGATCTCAACGTTTCGTGTGTTCGAGGCCCCTGTGTCGGGCTCTGTGCTGACAGCTCAGAGCCTGGAGCCTGCTTCAGATTCTGTGTCTCCCTCTCTCTCTGCCCCACTCCTGTTTATTTTTTCTCTTTCTCTTTCTCAAAAATAAATAAACTTAAAAAAAAATTTTTTTTAAAAAGGACAAGAGGAGGAAGCTCTGAGGAAGGAGGCAGGAACTGGGGGGAGACCTGAGTCTCAGTCTGAGACTGCACTTCCGAGTGTAGAGTCCACACTGGTAGTAAAGGGGGGTTGGGGTGCTCACTGGGGGGCCAGTAATAAGGGCTCAGTAAGTGTTAACTGTCGTTGATATTTTATTCCTGTTTTGCAGTTATAGGTCTTTGATTAGTGTAAAAATGGGAGAGTAAATCATTATAATGAGTAAGAATTGGCAAATCTCATAGGCACTCTTCGGAACTCCTGGGAAGGGTGAATAATAAAAAGTAGTTGAAGGGTTTGGCAGCTTGTCTGATCAGACCTCCTTATTTCATAGATAGGAACAGAAATAAGGTGACCTGCCTGAGGTCACCAGCCACTAAGAAGGCAGTGGGGCCAGGGCCACAGTTCAGATCTCGTCCCAGGGCAGTGCTCTGCCTGTGACAGGACCAGAAGGTGGTGGCAGGATTTCCGAACAAGCCCTGGACAGCAGTCAAGGGCAGAGAGGGCTGGGAGTTTCACACCCTAAGTAGATAATAATTCTCAGCTCTCTCAGACTCACTACCCGTTTCAAACACGTATTCTATGAAATCTCCTTTACTTCTCTCTAACTGAAATTCATAGGTAAAAGGGGTGCAGTGGGTTAAGCACCTGACTCTTAATCTTGGCTCAGGTCATGATCTCACGGTTTGTGGGTTCAAGCTCCATGTTGAGCTCTGCGCTGACATCATGGAGCCTGCTTAGGAGTCTGTCTCTCCTCTCTGCCCCTCCCCTGCTCGCTCTCTTCTCTCTCTCAAAATAAATAAATACACTTAAAAAAAATCTTGGCATCTGGGTGTCTCACTGGGTTAAGCATCCAACTCTTGCTTTCAGTTCAGGTCACGATCTCGCAGTTCATGAGTTTGAGCCCTGCCTCGGGCTCTGTGCCAACAGTGCAGAGCCTACTTGGGATTCTCTCTCTCCCTCTCTCTCTCCCTTCCCCTGGTCACAAGGACTCTGTCTCTCTCCTGCTCTCTCTCTCAAAAATAATAAGCTTAAAGAAAAAGATTGTACAATTAAAAAAAATCATAGATAATCTAACTGAATGCACACTTCAAAAGGAATCAGTATAAAGTCCTAACTGTAATATAAATGAGAAGTAAAAAGAGGGTAATTGATCATAAAATAATGTACATATGATCATGTAGATGCCTGAGCACAGTTACACGGGAAGATGTCGTCAGACGTTTGCACTTGTGTGTGGAATTACCTTGAATTTGACAGTAACAGAAGCTGTTACATACAGATGTGTTGTAGCAAAACTCAGATACTACAGACTGTATTGCTGTTACTGACATGATTTTTCTGAAATGCTGAACAGCTCTTAGGAGAATGGCAGACAGAATTGTAGACGGACAGTGTCTCGTATATAAAATGGTTTTAGACTCAGATGATTTATAACAAGACTTTTCAAAAGTTGTGTGGGATGCAGGTGATTCTTATGATGCAGAATTCATTGTGTAGAGTGCGCAGCCTCTCTGCTCTCTGCCAAAGTACCATCCGGTCCCTCCAACCACTGTGGCAAACAGAACTCTCCCTGGGCTTCCGCCTCAGCACCCGGAGGCTCCAGCACCCTAACCAGGAGTCAGGCCTCGAGTTTATCGTTGTGAAGATAGAAATTCTCAGCCTCGGAAGAACTGAAAGACTAAAATCACCATGCTTCACCTTCTGAAGTAAAGTACCTAAGCACAAATTGTCAGTGTTTGCGAAAACCCTTAGTAAGAGATTGATGGAGAACTTTATAGTGAGTAGATCAAGCTGGTGGCACCTGAGCCCATAGATAGTCTTTACGCTAAAAGTGGGAGGGCCACACATAGAGTGTCTTCTAGTGGGAGGCAGGGGTAAGTGCACCGTGGCCTGTACCTGGATCTCACTCCCAGTATAAGTGAAGTGTGATGGATAGAAGAATGAGTTAAACAGCCCAGACACGTGAGGATACATGTGTTCCAGCCCAAACTGGAACGTGAAAATTTTTTACAGGATAAAAAACTGTCAAATAAATGAATAGCATGGGGAGAAAAGAGAGAGCAAGTCTGTTATTCAAAGAGTTTGCTCAACTAATACAGTGATGGACCTCATTTGGATCTTGATTCAAACAAACGAATTCTGTGAGGCCCTGATACCAAAACCAAAGACATCACAAGAAGACTACAAACAAGTATTCCTTTTGAAGATAAATTTTAAAATCCTCCATGAAATACTAGCAAAACAAATCTAGTAACATAAAAGAAGGATTATATACCATGACCAGATGAAATTTATCCCAGAAATGGTTGGTTTAACATCTGAAAACAAGGTAGTGTAATATACCATATTAATGGAACAAAGGCCAAAAACCACATATTCATCTCAACAGGCAGAAAAAAAGCATTTGACAGAATCCAACACCTTTTCATGATAAAAACATTCAGCAAGTGAAGGAGTTTCTTAATAAGTGGCATCTGCAAAAATCCCACAGCTAACATCCCACTTAACAGAGAAGGATTGCATGGTTTCCCCCTAAGATTTAAGATTAGGAACAAGACAAGAATATCTATTCTTGTTACTTTATACTCTTGTTACTTTTATAAGACCTCATTATTTCAGATTCTAGCCGGGACAGTCACTCAAGAAAAAGAAAAAGTATCTAGATTAAAAAGGAAGAGGTCAAACAAACTTTGTTTGCCAGTGACATGAGATCTCTCATATAGAGAAAATTCTAAGAAATTGTCTAAAAAAACCTTTTTTTTTTTTTTTTTTTTTTTGAGATAAAGTGTGCACAAGCGAGCCAAGCAAGTAGAGAAGGGGCAGAGGGATAGAGAGAGAGAATCCTAAGCAGGCTCCATGCCCAGCACAGAGCTCACTCTCAGGACCATGAGATCATGATCTGAGTTGTAATCAAGAGTTGGGCGCTTAGCTGACTGAGCAACCCAGGCACCCCTAAAAAATTTTTAAAATAAGCAAGCTCGGCACTGTGACAGGATATACAGTCAAAAACCAAAACTCAGTTTTATTTCTGTACATTAGCAATGAATATTCTGAAAATAAAGGAAATAATCCCATTTATAATAGTCTCCAAAAGTAAAAATACTTAAGAATAAATTTAACAGCGTTGCTTGGGTGGCTCAGTCAGTTAAGCGTCTGGCTTTGGCTCAGGTCATCATCTCACAGTCCATGGGTTAGACCCTCGCATTGGGCTCTGTGCTGACAGCTCAGAGCCTGGAGCCTGTTTCAGATTCTATATCTCCCTCTCTCTTTCTGCCCTTCTCCCACTCGCACTCTGTCTCTCTCTCTCTCTCTAAATAAGCATTAAAAAAATTTTTTTTAAATAATAAATTTAACAAAAGTTAACTTGTACACTGAAAACATTGTTGACATAAATTAAGGAAGATCTAAATAATGGACATTCTGTTTTCATAGATAAGACTTGATATTGGCAGTGTTCTCCAAATTGATCTACATATTTAATGCAGTCCCAATCCCAGAGTTTTTTGTTTGCAGGTTTTTTTGTTTTCTGGTTTTTCTTTTTTGGGGTGTTTGGGTCCCCCCCCCAGAAATTGTCAAGTTGATCCTAAAACTTACATGGGAATGCAAGAGAATAACCAAAGCAATCTTCAAAAGGAAAAAAAGAAGACTCACACTTTCCATTTTCAAAACTTACTATAAAGCTACCATAATCAAGACTGCGGTACTAGAGTAAGGACTGACATATAAAGCCAAAGGATTAGAATTGAGATCCAGAAATAAACCCCTACGTTCATGGGCAGTTGATTCCAACAAGAATGCCAAACCAATTCAATGGGGAAACAGTAGTCTTTTCAGATGGTGCTGGGATAAGTCCATACCCACATAGGAAATAATGCAGTTGGACCCCTTCCTCACACTGTACATGGAAATTAAAATGGATTGTAGATCTAAGTGTAGGAGAACTATAACACTCCTAGAAGAAAACAGGAATAAATCTTCATGACCCTGTGTTAGACAGTAGTTTCTTAGATACAACACCAGAAGCACAAATTAGACTTTGTCAAAAGTGAAACCTTTAGAGCATCAAAAGACAGCATCAAGAAAGTGAAAAGATAACCCCCAGTATGGGAGAAAGCACTTAGAAATCATACTGGGCAAGAGGCTTATATCCAGAATACATAACCCTTAGAACTCAGTAATAAAAAGGCAACCCAATGTAAAAATGATTTTTAAAATATTTACAGTGGCCCATGAGCATGTGAAAAGATGCTCAACATCATTCAGCATTAGGGAAGTGGAAATCCAAGTTACAGGGAGATAGCACTCGTTTGTGCACTTATTCACCTACAG